TTTAGTCCCTTCAATTGAGAGTTGAAAAAATTTGATTTTATGGCGTGTCGACGCAGAAGACCCACAGACAAAGACCATTTTTCTTACTTTTATTCCATTGTTCTTTCATATTGGGTCCTTACCTATGGCCTTTTTGGGAGTTTTTGTTGCTGCGGAGTATGCCGATCATGCCCATTGTAGCGATAATAGAAATAGGTCTATGTTACTAGTACAGAACCCAGAGACCGTTGGGGGCTTTGTACAATCGTCTCGCCAACGCCCTTAGGAAAAGGCGGTGATTAAACCTAAAAACTAATTCTCAGCTTATGAAATTAAAATTTTGAATAACTTAGGTGAAAAAAGTACTCGACATCGACGATGTAGAAAATTCAACAGATGATTTAACCACAGATGACCTAGATGACCTTGAAAAAAGAATTAAAGAAAAACATTTAACTACATTGGAAGTTTTTATAAAGAATGAAAATTTCAAAAAGAATTTGGCTATTAGTAAGTTACTGGATGCGGAAGGGGTTTTCCGTGCTAATTTATTTTAACTCGTGTATTGAACTGTAGACAATTTAACAGAAAACTTTAGTTATTAGTTCATAGCAGATGATCAAGGCTATCTAGCTTCAGCTATCAGGCTAACATTCGGAACTTTCTTATATTTATTAATTTAAGGATTAAAAGAAATGGGAGAAGAAAAATTCAAAAAAGAGCTAAATTTGTTTATCGAACATAAAAATATAAATAAAATATATGAAATTATAAGTAAAATAGATGTTAGAACAGAAGAAGAACGTAAAGCTCAGGACGATGAATATTTAAAAACCATTGCTTTATGGGATGAAGAACCATCAAAGGAAAATAAAGGAAAAGGAAAGAAGATAAAAGAGAAAGGAGGGAAAGGAGGGAAAGCCGATGAAAAATCAGAAAATCCAAAAAAGAATAAAAAATCCTCAAATAAGAAAAATAAAAATAATAAAGAAAGTACTTCTACAAGCAATATAGAAGAAGAAATAAAAGAACAAAATCAGAAAACAGTTGAACAAACAATTGAAATAAAATCAGAAATTGTTGAGGAAAAACAAAAAATAAAGGAAAAGCCTCCCCCTCCTCCTAAAAAGCCAAAAAAGAAAAAATTAATTGGAGGAAATAATGAAAAACAAAAAAATATTTCTTCATTTTCTTCAACATCTTTAAATGAATTAAAATTAAAAATTTCAGAATTTACAAATGAACAAATAATTAATAAATTTTATTTAGAATTTATCGAAAACCCTTCAATAGAAAAACGTTATTTAATTGATATAGGCATTATTATTAATGAAATACATAAACGTTTTATTGCATTTAAACAATTAAAAGAAATATGGCCATTAATTTATAAAGAATTATTTGGAGGAGAAATTTTTGAAAAAATGTCAAAATGGATGGAAAATTTAACAGAAGATGATCAGAATAAAGTAATTAATTTATTAGATAAATATCTAAGTAGAAAAGGTGGTAACCGAAGAATATAACGTCTAAAGGAGATCTTTAGCCAACAAATTAAACCAGAACCCGAGAAATATCTGTGAATGAGTATTGAGTGTTTGGGCTGCCTACCGTTATGGCTATCCTCAATTATTTATTTTTTATGAGTCAAAATTTTCCGCCCAAATCACTCACTGTCTAATTTCAACACAATTTGAGAGGAATAAAATTAACTTGTCTATTATTCGTCTTAGTCTCGAATTAATTATTTTTAAGGTTTTGGGAAATACTCCAATTGAATTGTACAACCAACTTAAAGAATTGGTTTATTTAATTGAAGGAACGTGGAAAGTTGATAATAAAAATATTGAAGAAAAAAATATTTATTTTGTTATTCATCAATTACATTTACAAAAATTAGTTTCTTCGAGAAATATTTTATTTATTAAAGAAAAAAGTCAAAATTTAAAAGAAAATATTATTTCAATTCTTTTTGGAGTTGAAGAGTCAAAAGGGATTGAAGAATGGTTTAATAGAATTGATGAACAAATAAATGATTGGAATAAATTTAGAAATCAGAGGGATATTGGTACTAAATTAAATTAAGAATATTTACTAAATAAATAAAATACTTTTAATTAATTTTTAGTTTAAATTTAATTAGTAACAATTTTTAAATTTATTCGGTCATAGCTGGCTCATAAAACGGTCATAGCTGGTCATAGCTGGCTTCTTTTAACGGTCATAGCTGGCTTCTTGACCGTTAAAAGAAAACGGTCATAGCTGGCTTCTTTTAACCATTGGATAAAAATTAAAGAGATATTGGTTATTCTTATTAGACTGGTTGTTCTGATTTGAATTTTTCTGATCTGTCATTACCCCAAATTTATTCTAGGCCATTTAAGTTTTTTAGAGAAAGGATGTTGAAAGCGCTTATTTTGAAATGAGAATGAATACCGTAAATGCTCTAATAATTACCCTGGGTAATTATTGTTTCAACCTCGCTGGAGGGAGTAATTAATAGAGCGGGGGCAATTATTTGAGAGAGGGTAATTAATAGAGCATATACGGTATGTATGTACATATAATAAAAATACTCTAAAACGATTCTAAACAAAATTAATTTCAGATAATCAAAATATTGGAGAATATGGCCCAGCAAAATATTTAAATCCAGAATTAATTCAAAATTTAATATTTTCTGAGGAGAATGAAGAAAGTAATTATAATTATGAAATATTTGAATTAATTGAATTAAATAAAGAAAATGATAAAAATATAAACGAAATAATTAAAAAATTAAAAAATATATTAAAGAACTGGGCAGAAATATTTGAAGCTGATTATGAATTTTTGATTGGGGGATCTTTAATGTTGGAAGTAAATACAAAAAATTCTGATATTGACGCTATTTATGTTGTTAGAAAGAATACTGAATATTTTTGGGATGAAGAAAGAGAAGAAAATAATGATGGAACAAAAAAATTAAAAAGTAGAGCTACACAATTTTTTGGACGTTTATCTTCAAAATGTTTAGATAATAAAGAGAAAAATTGTTCTGATCAGTCTTTTTACTGTTATTTATGTTTACAGGTAAAATATAAATTTAAATAATATAGTGATAAAGCGATATAGTACTTAATTGTATGTATGCATAGTTATTAGATATTTTACAAGATTTATGGTTGGGTTGAAATATGAACTATAAATCTAAATATAAGTCTGACTCTTGTCCAGTTGTGTTTGATCGGATGTTCTTGTTCGGGATTTTTTGTAAAGTTCCAGTCCGGATGCGATTAAACCTAACTTACAGCCAGACAGGAAAATAAACGGTTAAATATTAAACTGGAACATAAAACTTAGATTTTAATCCCCAAACCTAGCTTGCTAAGAAAGGTCTATTGATGAAATCAAGCCTCCGTTCAATCTATCAATTTATAAATAAAAAACAATAATAAACATATCTACTAATTAAAATTTAGGATAAAGTTAGTAATCTAAAAAGAATTACTGAAATACGTGTTCCTTTATTGAAATTTAAATTTTATGGAATTGATATAGACATTAGTTATGTACAAATTCCTGAAGAGATAAAAAATAATGAAAATTGGATGGATAAAGCTTTAAATAATGCAGAAAATAATAGTTTAGGAAGAGTTTTTCCCTTATCTGGTTATAAATCGAATTTAATTATTAAAGAATTATTACCAAAAGAAGAGGAAAAAATAAAAATATATCGTTCGGCATTAATTTTATTAAAAATTTGGGCAGAAAGTAAAACACCTATTTAGAAAAATATTTTTTATTTTAAAAATTTATAGATAATTCTATTTATGGAAATCAATTTGGATTTTTGAGTGGTACTTCTATGTTAATTATGTTAACTAAAATTTATTTATTATATCCAAATACTTGTTCTGTTTTGGTTATAGTAGATAGATTCTTTCTTACATTTTTGACATGGTTAGTTTGGATAACTTTAATTTTTAAAGCAAAATTATTTATAAAGTAATCAAATTTAATTAAATATTTAAGTTTTAATTAGGTAATTATTTAAAAATAAACATTTGACTTTGATTACATATAGTGTCTGAAAAAGGATCGGTACAATAATATCTAAAGTGTTATTATAATTAGGGGCACAATAAGGAATTGTAAATCATCAAGAAAAATAAGTAGAGAGGATTTTTATGCATTAAAAAATGCGAAATATGCACTATAATATTCATAAAAATACCGAAATATACAAATATGAAAACATACAAAAAATGCAATTTACTCCTAAAAATTTAAAGTTATTTTTATTCAAAACAAAAAAAAACTTTTTTGCTAAAATTAAAAATCCTGTCTCTAAAGATAAGTATAGAAACAATTTTAATTTTTTAAGGAATTGGCCTAGACCTTTTTTTATTGATACAATAGATGGCAAGTTAACCCACAGTTGGAAAATTGATACAGAATTATTTGCAAGAAAGCGAACATTTCTAGATCAACAAGGAATTAAAGAAGATTGGGAAGATGTTGATAAAAAGGATAAAAAATATATAAAAAAGAAAAAAGAAAAATTAAAAGAAAATGAAAATGAAAATATTGAGAGATTAAAAAAACATTCAAAATTAATAATGCCAGTATTAACACCTGCATATCCACAACAGTCAAGTGCTTTTAATGTTAATTATTCAACAATGAAAATAATTAAACAAACAATTATTGAAGGTTAATATTTTGAAATCTAGGATCCTGGGATAAGAACTAACCCTCGATAATAATGTAAAGCATATAGCTATTTATTTTCTAAGGCTATGCAGTAGACCCCGTGGTGTAATGGAAACACATCAGTTCGGTCTACTGAAGATTCTGGTTCGCCCCCAGCCGATGACTAACCTTTTGCACTAGCTAAAAGAGAGCAATAGCTATAGCACAGCTGATTTACTATAACTTCTAATTACCTATAATTACTCGTTAATTTATGCTTGAATTTACTTAGACTCTACTTTAGTGTTTAAATAATAGCCTTGGTTTCTAGCATTGACTCCCTGATAATGATAAATTGCCAAAAATCTGGATTTTATTTTTGGGTCGGGAATCCTGATTCCAATTTCTACAGCAACTTTAATTTCTTTATAGGTTTTAAAGGAATAAGACAAATTCGTCGCCAATCATCCACCAATTTTAACAAAGGACTGAAACAATGGATTAACGGAGCTAATTTTGTTGATAAAGTACCTAATTTATATTTTTAATTTAAAAAAATTATTTTCCTTTCAAAGTACAATCATTTTGTAACAATTATTTGTGTTGGAATTGATAAAAATATTGGAGAAGATTTTTGTAATTTTGTAAAAAATCGAATTAGAGTTGAATTAGTTTTGTCATTGGAAGCATATCCAAAATTAGAATATTCACATATTTCACCAAATAAATCAAAAAAAGGAAAATGTGAAAAAAGATTAATTGCCGGGGAAAAATTCAAAGATTTTGGGTAATTAATAAATAATTAATTTTAATTTTAAATTAAATTTAAAGGGAGGACAGTTGGTGTAAACAATGGATTGTTGGTTTAAATATGCCCAAATTATTTAATTATTCAGAAGAAAAAGCATCCTTAAATTATTATTTTTTAAAGTTTAGTGAAAAAATAGAAAAAAAATATTTAAAGGTAAAAATAAAAATAATTTTTAATTTAAAAATTTAATTTTATTCAGCTTAGAAAAATTGATAATGTAGCTCTTCATTTACGTTATACTGATATTCACGAAGCTAAGAAGTTTTGGAGAGATAATTAATGAGAGTTTATGAGTAGTATTATAAGTATCCCTACCCTTTTGTCTCTTTTTTGTCTCACCACAATTAATTAAACCTTTGAGGGGTGTATTCCTTTTGATCTAACTGCAAACCCGTCACTATGGGACGGGTTTGTGATTATTTCAAGAAATTTTGTCTCAAAGGGACGGGTTTAATTAATTGCGGTGAGACAAAAAAGAGACAAAGTAGTAGTACTATTTTTATGAAAATTGTTTTTATTTAAATGCTTTATAGATTTAACCCCACCCACGTATTTCCTGAAATAAAAAACCATTACTATCAGAGCCCCGCCATAATTAAACTCCATAAACTAAATTTTCCAAATTTTCCAACTTTTCCAAATTTTCCAACAATTTTCCAACGCAAAGCCATAAGGCTTTGCGTTGTTATGGCCGCGCGTTGTTTTGGGCTGTAAGCATTTATTATTTCAGGAAATACGATATGACTATTATTTATCTAAATTAACTACACCTTGGTTCCTTTAGATATTTTTTAGAAATGAGGAAATCTGATCATTATGTGGCCTTTTGAGGAAAGTAAAGAAGGATACAATACATAATTACCTCATTCTTATACATGTTTTTATTCATTTTTAAATTAAGTTGAAATTTTTTACAATTTTTCATTGATAAAACATTTTTCTATACATACTATCAATCAGTATCATTTTACTAACCAAGATACCTCTCTGCGTTATTTTGCATAATATTTATAAATTTTATGCACAAGCGCCTCGCTGGCGCCCATAGGTTTACGTTGTTTGTTTTATCCGAAAATATTGAATTCACGAGCCAAAAATCGTCGAGAATTCGGGAATTTTGCTTTTTATGTGGGGGAATAGAAGTAATTACGAGGGGTTAAATGTACGAGAGGTTCTTAATTCATTAAGGGGTATTTAAGCGATATAAGTTTATCAAGGATAAAGAGATTTGAGGTAATAAAGATTTTTCTTCTTTTTTTTTCTTCTTATCCCTGATCTGGACCTCGAAGTCTGGAAAGATAACTAGCTTAGGAAATATGAAAAAAGATAAAAGGGATATGGAATGATATCGTGGGATTAAGGGGGATTTTGAGGTATCTCTCTAGACCTTTCGATATCCTCATAATTATTCCTTTTTTTTAGCGCCGCAGGTGAATAATTTTGAGAATTTTGGAAGGCCAAGGAGCCAGATTTCTTCCTTTTCCTGCGCCGCAGGCGAAAATTTTGTGAAAAGTAAAAAAGGGGCAATGTTGAAAAACCACTTAACCACATTTTACTTTGCACTTGTCTCATGTCCAATTGTCCTTTGTCATTAATGCTAACAAATATTTTATTTTAATATTTATCTCATTAAAATTTTTAAGATAATTTAAAAAATGGGTACATTTACAATTAGCTATTTTCTCCGCAAATATTTTATTGAACGACCAAAATGGCACTATCCTGTTTTCTTTGGTGCTTGTTATATCGGTTATTTTTTAGAATAAATTTACTTTTAATTTTTATTAAAAATTTAGGTTATCGCTATGCAATTTTTAAACGTCATCATCATTTAGCTTCGATGAAAGGACATACTAGAATGTACAAAAGTCGTAGAGAAGAAATCCTTCGTTGGGATCCACATGCCGATATTTGGACTTATTAAAGAATTTTTTTGGATATTTTGTTGTTTTTTGGTAATTGTTAGGTATAAAATTTGAATTTTTAGTGTAAAAATATGGTACTTATCGGTTATCCCAAAGTAGTTTTTGCGGACATTTTATGCGGACTCATTTTTGCACGGAATGGTCAAAGCTTCTTTCGCCCAACAAAGCAAGAAGGTTCTCCCTTCCTCGATTTCACTCAATTTTCCTTGTGGCTTCATTCAATGAGAGCACAGGGAAAATTGAGAAAATCGAGGAAGAAAGAACCTTTGACCATTCCATGCAAAAATGAGTCCGCATAAAAGTCCGTAAAAACTACTTTGGGATAACCAATAAGTACCAAAAATATTTTTGTTATGAATTTTTGAATTAAAAATTTTTTATTTGTTTTTTTTTGGAATTGGTTTTTTCCTTTTTATTTATCAATTTTAAACGATTTTTATTTAAAATTTTTTGATTTAAATGTTGAAAAGGTGTGTGCTTGAACATAGATTCAGTTTGCTGGCTTTTTCTCGATTGAACAGAAAACAACAAAATAGGGTTAGTCTTTAAATTTTTTAAGGTATGAATAAAAATTTCTTTTAAAAAATACTTTCATGTCTGTTGAGCAAGATTTTGAAAATTTTTTGATATTTTATAAAATTTCTAGAAAGTACATATTTTCATTTTATTTTTAGTTCTTATGGAAATTTACCCATGTTTATATGCCTGAAAGAACTCCGGATGGACTTTTACAACGTCCACCAACCGATCATCAGGATTTTACAAAGTAAAAATTATTTTTGTGTTTGTTTATTGTTTACGTGGAATTAAAAATTTTTTAAAGAATTTCTCCTCGTTTCTTTAATTATTTCCTACCAATAATTTTTAAGAAAAGTAAACAGATCTTTAAAAAATTTTTGGTTTATGATACTAGATTGTAGAGCTGTCCAAGTCCAAAAATTTTCCAAGACTCGAAACCAAGACTAAACTCCAAGACTCAAGACCAAAAATTAATAGGACTAGAGGCAATTTTTTAATCTCATAGGGCAAATTTTTTATTTTGCGTACAATATGGCACCAAAGATGCCATAAAACTACCTAGGCCGAAAAAACCCCAAGAAAGGTCTTCAGTCAATACCAAGAGTCTTGGACTCTTGGTATTGACTACTAGATTGTTCAATTATTCCGTATTTTGAATATTTTTAAAAATTAATTTTCAGATATGAGGCAATTGAGGACCCGCAATATCAACAACCAGCTCCTCCATTAAAAATGATTTTATTAGAGGACGTTGATGGTTTATTTAAATATATTTTTATTTAAAAAACTTTCTGGTTAAGATGTTGGTGATAAATTCGAAATTCTTGAATTGTCTGACAATCTGGCTCGCAAACTCTATTTAACCAAAAAAGCAGCTTATGCCTCTCCGTTCGATTTGGAATATTATGGAAAAAAGAAAGAGGAATTTTTGGCACAGAAAGATACTAGAATAGCCAAAATGCCTAGAGATTTGGCCAAAATAGCTTCCAAAATTTCAGCGACGGTTCTTTAAATATAAAAATTAAATATTTTAATTTTAAAGATTGTGCCAATTTATGTTTCAATTCGTAATGAATGGATGTTAAATCCTCTGATTTTGGCTACTTCTATGGAACAACATGTACATATTTTAGTTTTTATTATTAAGTTTTTATGCTTGAAGGGTCTGGTGGACATCCTCATTATAGTCAGTGTTACGACAATTGCGGATTTAAAATTTAAAAAAAATTTTAAAAATTATTGAAATAATATGCTATTTTCTAGTCCCTGCTGTCATTTTCCGATTTTTAGACTGATGCAACACTGAAAACTAAAATAGCTTAAATTTTCTTAAAATCTCTTATCCGCTATTGGTGTCCGCAATTGCGTATCCATTATAGCCCCCTCCACCCCGAACTTTAACTCCTTAATATGCCTTTGGGAAATACAAATGACGATTTTTCATTTATATACCAAGATAATTTGATAAAAAAAATCCAAAAAAATTAATTTAAGGGAATTCGAATTCCAGTTCAATGTTTACATTTAGCTGGAGGAGAACCAATGAAAGGACCAGATTTAAAAGAAGATGGACGTTTAATTCGTTTTTACGCAACTGTTTGTTTTTCTTATTTTTTTAAGATTAAATTCAAAAATTTTTAGATTGAAGATAAATTAATTGTTCCACTACTTGGCCGAATATTACACGTTTCTCACGACGAAGATACAGTTTAGAATTTTTTTGATATATTTAATTAAATTTAAATCATCTTAAAAAATAATTTTCCAACAATTTGTTAACTTAAAAAATTTTTTTCAGAATTTATTTCCGGAAGATCAACAACTAAAAACGGCAAATAATGCCCAATTACTTCAATTTGGTTTACGACCCGAAACAATTTATTTTAATCCAAATGGACTTCAACAAATTTTTGAGAAGGAAGAAATTGGCACTTTTATGGCTAAAAGGCCTAGCAATGCTATAACTGGTGCTGAATAATTTTGTTTTATTTTTTGTTAATAAAAATTTTTGATAGATTTGCAGAAAGTTCTTTTATAAAATGTTATTAAGAACTCGGTACAGGACAAGATCCGACCAACTATGTCGGTCTTGTCTGTAAAATAAATTCTTTAGGGCATGGAAACAAGGGGCAAGAAACTAGTTTAATACGCCGTTAAAATTAGGGTTGCCAGCTCGCTCTAACCGAAACTCGAAAGATCGAGCGAGCCGAGGCTTTTCAGCTCGAAAACGAACCGAATCGAAAAAAAACAAGCTCGAAAAAATGCACCGAACGTCGGCTCAAATCGAAAACAGCAACACCAGTTAAAATCTTAAAAACACCTTATTTTTTGTCATATCCATTCTGTCCCTTGGACTAGTAAAAAATTTAAACGGTTTTATATTTATTCGAAAAAAATTAAACATAAGCAGATTGTATTAAAAAAAGAAACAAATTTAAATTATATAACTGTTATTATTTAAAGCCATTTATTTAAAAGTTGATACAAGAAAAAGACCCGCTTAAATCGGAGAAAATATTTTTATAAATTTTTTGTGTTGTCCACAAAAGAATAAAACTAAAAATCTAATTTTAACTTGAAGAGATTCTAAGAAAATAGAGACTGGATTTTTTGAAAGTTAATGTCCATATTTTGTTGATTTTTCGTCGATATTTAATAAGATTTTCGAGTTATTCAATAAAAATCTTGTCTCTGTTAAATAAAGATTGGAAAGAAAGTCAAAGTAAATAATCGAGATTGGATTTGGATGTAAGTGGGGTATTTGAAAATTATTATTTCTATTGATATTAATCCATAGTAGAGAACGGAAATTAGGTTAATAAGTTTTTGTAATTAATTTGAAAATTTGAAAGTATGTATTTTAACAATCCAAATTAATCAATTAAGATAAATTGGTTATTATTAGAACCGGATCGAGACGAGATCTCGAACGAAAATCTCAATTATTGAGATTTTTCGAGACATCTCGTACGACACTCCCAGTCCGGTCTCTAGTTGTTTATGTTCTCTACTATAGAATTAGATATTCTAACAAAGTGTATATCTGAAATGATTATTTATAAATATTTAAAAAAATGAGGAAGATTCGTGTTTGTCTGGTCCTCCAGCAATAATAGTTTTAGTCAAATAATTTTGTAAAGGAACACCAGGAGAAGATTGATTTTGTTCATAAATTACATGTTGTTCATTATCTGCCTGTTGATGTTTTTGGTTGGTCCCAAAATCCATGGAGGGCCTTGGTGTACTTGTTCCAGTTTGTTGATCTTCTATGTCTGAAGGTGAAGGTGTTCCAAGTGTAGATGAACGCATAGAACTTGAAGCTAAACTATTGGAAGGCTAAAAAATAAAAAGTTAGATTCAATTCATTTAAAAGTCTGAGTACTTGTTGTTGCTGTAATGGTTGGTGATTTGGACTTTGTTGAAGAAATGTTTGTAATTGTGGTTGTTGGTGTTGGTATTGTGGATTAAATTGATCAACTGTATTCTCTCTCATTCCATTCCCTCCACTCGAAGAAGTATTTGTAGTTGATGGAGAATGTAGAGAAGATGGAGATGTACTTCTAAATAATTTTGATTTAAAATCTTAGAAATATTTTTTTTAATATGTAGAATGTTGTAAAGGACTAAATATTTCAGTGGGGATAGAGGTTCTCAGGCTAACAAATAATAAACAAGTATGAAAATATTAATTTCAGATACCTAATATTTTTATTATTATTTTGTTGATTTTGACTTGAAGAAAATATACGAGAAGCTGGTATTTGATTTTGTATTATATTATTAGCATTTGAACAACGTCCTGCAAGAGTTGAATGTATATTAGGTGCTTTTACTGAGGCATATGAAAGCATTGAACATCGTCTGTTTGAAGGTGTATTTCCTTGAGGGTTATGAATGGGTAAAGCCCCATAAATACTTGTTGTGTTGCTATGGCCAAAATGGCTAGATTCTTTAAAAAAGGAATAGTTTTTCTTAAAATATTTGTGAATAACCACCAACCCATCTCTAAACATTCTCTTCCATTTTCTTGTCCACCACCAACTCGTTCATTAAAACTAACACCATTACTGCTAATCCATAAATCTGTAGATTCTGTTGGTTGTTGTTTCTTTTGTTTGTTTATTGTATCGTTTGAATTATAGGGAGGGCAATTTAATTGTTGGGGATTAATGGCAGAAATTAACTTTAAAATGAATTATTTTTATTTTAAAATTTAATAGAAATTTTGATTGTTAAAATAAAATAACCAAAATCAATTTAAAGTTTTAACTAGTACAGTCAAATATCAATTTTAAATACCTCCAATCTTTATATGTATGTAGTAGAGTTTCACCGGAGGTTCCGGAGTTTTTTGGTTGCGGTTTCGGAAGCCGAACTCAAATAGGATCCCGTCAAAATATCGGTTCCGGTGAAATACTAATACATATGTAGCTCACTTTTAAACACAAATGTGGGTATTTAAAAGCGAGATCCGAGAGGC